CAACTGATTCAGCTTTGAAAGTCATCTTCGAGGTGAAATAAGATTAGGCAAGAAACCTCCACTGCCGTCTTGTCTGTGCTGCAGAAACTCTTGCTATATACACTTTATATTTTATAATTTTCATCTTGGATTCCTAGTGGAACATAGGACTTCGATAACACGTCGCCATTTCACTCTGTTCTCTGCATTCCTCCCAACCTGACTCTACGACTCCCCATAAGTTCTCATTTCTTCTTCACACCATCTCCCACACTCGAACACCCAACTCATCCTTCCCCATTTCGGTTCCACTCGACGGCCTGACGTGGACTGAACTGGCGAGTGATGTCCCTAAACGGTATCTTCAGTCTACGTCCAATCTAATCCATCTCCACTTTCTCCTCCTGCATATTTCTTGGATGATAACTTCTTGGTTGGTTCGTTGCCAGGTCATAGTTCCTTGTTGCTTATTCTTTTTATTCTGGTCATCAATCTGGTCTTCAGTATGGATTAGGTGTAGGTGGCAGCTGCTGATGATGTATATCTGCAGTTTGTTGGAAATGCTTTTTGTGACTCACCAAGTCTCTCAACAATCACATAGAAGCAGTGAATTGACTGAATTAGTGTTGAAAATCCGCATCTTGTTCACGTTTTTTGCTGAGTGAAATGCATTAGATCTGATTTGATTTCAGATTAATGAAGGGAGGCCTGTGTGGCTGTCCTTCCGATCCTTGCTGACTTTGACATCCTCATCTGTGCCGCCGCTGCCACCGTCTGTAGTTGAAACGATGCTGCCTTGCCTGGGCAGGTGAAGGAGACTACTTCCTTCAGATTTCTCCAGTTGATGGTGATGGGTGCTTGTTGTTGGTTGGGTATCTTCATCACCTCTGTCTCCTCTACGTTCACTTGAAGGAAGTCTTGTCTTCCTTCGCTGCCCTGCCTCGCTTCTTCAACCAGCTTGTTAGTTTTCGTCTGTAGATCTTCGAGTTTGTGCTACAAGACATTAGACATAAATCATCATCACTGGCGAAATCCAAATCTTCTTCTGGGGTCTCTTCATCAGTCCAGCCAGCGTATGCCTACCTTCTTGCTCCTCACAGTTGTTTGTTGTGTGATCCAGTCCAGTCGTCTACAATCAGGAAGATCATCGGTGATGGTGGACGGCAACCTTGTCTTGTGTTTCTCCTGCCTTCACTCCGCTTCGCTTCTCTGCAAAGTCATCACTGAGCTTTCCATTATGTTGTAAATCATTTGGCATGTAGCATCGTCATATAGCATATGGCTGCCGTTGAATGAGGTTGATAAAGTTTTATGACACTAAACTGTATCTGCCTGCGAAATCACTTCTTGATCAACGCTATGGAAGCAAAGCCTCTTCAAAGTCGATAAAATTCAGGTTGAGTTGAGTTGACTGACATTTTATTCTCTGTTCCATGATGATGTATGGCGTAGCATTGCAATTTGATCCTTACATGGTTTGTTTTTGCTCAAGCCAGTCAGTCAGTCATATCCGGTGGTAATTTCGAATACAGAAGATATTTTAGTCTGTCTAGGATGATGCGACCTAATATTTTGCTTGCTCCGGGTGGACAGGGATATGGGCATGGTTTCGTACCAGTTATCGCAAAAACTAAGATCGCTCTTCTTTGTGAGTTTGACAAGGTAGCCCTTCTTCCAATCGGTAGGTACCATTCCTTCTCTCCAAACCTTCTGCAATATTGGTGTGAGCATTTCCGCTGCTGGTGTACCTGCGTGTGTTTTCAGTACTTCTGGAGGAATTCCATCTGGTCCTATTGTTTTCACGGATTTCTACATCTTTATGGCGTTCAGGACTTCACTTCTGCTTTGGTCTGAGGGTCTGTGTTCACTGATATTTCTGAGGCTGGGCTGCTGGTGGTATTTCTGGATGAGTCGCAGGTGGTAGTGGTGGTGGTAGATTCAAGGGTTTTTTGAAGTGGTCAGCCCATCATTTCCTTTGTTTCTCCTCTTTTGTTACTAAGTTTCCTTCACTATCTTTTATTGGTTTCGTCGGTGTTGATCTCTTCCTAGATACTAGCCTGGTATTTTGATTTGTTGTCATATCTCTCTTACCTGTAGCTTGTTCTGCTTCAGTTGCAACTTCTATCTGGAACTCATGATTGGTAATCTGTAAATTTCCCGCAGTGACGTAATATTTGGGGCTAATTCTCAAATCAAACTTATATCTTAACTTAGCATCTTGCAAGCAGATCAAGTTGCTAGCGTTTTATAGAAGAATAGCTTGTAACTGAGGGATTACGGGGAGAACTGGAACTTACTATAGTGTAATAACTGTAAAATGAAGATGGACACGATACAGGCATCAATGAGTTTCAAGATAAGTGATATTTCCCGAGTAGAGATCAATTGTTATTTTGTCGCTTGGATTCCTTCACAATAGTAAGTATTGCTAAAAGACTGCGATTCGAAGTGGTTATGCGTCTTGGGTGTTACATATTCTACCAATGGGTTATCCACCAGACAAGTGACTACCTTTCGAATGGGATCAAGTACATGACTGGGCCAGTGGATATGTCGCGATGTACCAGTCTACTTTTAAATACCACTACAACCTTATCGGTCAAGTTTGCAATACAACAACTGAACTGCGTGACACAACAGTTCAGCATAGTATGTCTTAGTGCTAGATATCTGGAAAAACCTGAACTCAAGGCCTCCTGTCGTGGGGACTTCTAGCACCCAGAACAATCAGTACTCTCCAACTACACATATTTTCTGAAATAAGTTCACTGTCTTCAAATGTTATCAGCAATTGCTTGTTTTTACGTGCAATTCTTCCGGTTATACAAGTAACTAATTATTAAGATCTTGTGAAGTTTACTTCTTTCAAGGGAACCTGAAAATAGCTCATCAGTGATTTACCCAGTGGCGTGCAGCTGAGAAAGAGGCAGGATTGTTAAGCGAAACCTTGTTTGCTTAACTGACCAGTACCATGACGCAACACCCATATGGATTCACTTAGTTTTGATCTAGTACCTAATGTTAATAGGATGAATGGCGTTCGGATCCATTATTTTCTCGAAAATTAGCTGATCGGAACAAAAGGTTGCATAATGGGTTATTTGACTTCAGCAGATCTTTGTCGAATAAATTCAAGTCATTCCAAGTTTTTCACGGAGGAAATAATGGAGAAAATCACCTAACTAGTTGAACAATGATCAGCGTTCTGTCAAATAAAACTCCCTTCAGTATCTAAATGAGACAGACTCCCTATGATCTGATTACAAATAATAGTAGTAACACAAATGAGAATCTTCGGTTTCACCAATCAAACTGCAGGGATTACAGTAGTGACCAAATACGTCAAACTTTTGTCAGTAGTCTCTCTTCACCAAACTCATGAAGGGTATATTAGCTTAACTTTTTATGAAGTAACACTTAAGATAACGTCTAAAATTAACATCAAAAGTTTTTCCTAAGGAGCGCAAACGTCAAGAGCAATAAAATCATCCAGGTAAAGGTTTTGCATCATTCATCAAGTACTGGGGTATTTATACTTTGCTTAGTTGAGGCTGTTTACTAGTATGCCACTACCTAGTAGCTGTTGTCTGTAGCACATGATTCTGTCGATTCAGTCCTAATGCTGATCTTAGAAGCTATTAGTTTCTAACATAATGAGTGGCCTTCAGAGTCATTTCATGTACTTGTTACCTCTAGTATGCTCACTTCATCTACCGGGCAAATCACGCAATTTAGCCTTTCCAACCGTATACAACAGAACACAAAGTATAGTTCTTATTGTTAGTATATCGTCGGCCACCTGGTTCATATGGATATACAACCGAATTATCTGACCACAACACACCATAATTTATCACGATGAAACAACCGATTTCATGCACAAAATATGAGACAGTCCACCATAATGGATTTCACTCAACATACAGTGATTATTTCTGAGTCATGTCACGCAGTGCTGAATGGAAACTCGATCGAAACCTCTTAAAGCAACCAAGCTATGCAATAATGTTACCAAATAAGTCATAAATAAGACACCTTTAAAGTAAGTAAAATGATACGGCTGATAATGCTTATATGAGATTTACGTTTTTCACTTTTCTGCCGATATATCACATTCACACATACACACTCGCTACCATATCATAGTTTCTTAAACAACGAGCTTCAACTGAATACAGTGAAATTTGAAGCATGACACGAAGTTGATCAGTCCAAGTTCTTGGTGAAAAGAACCATTTTGACAGCTAACGAAAAGAAATATGCTAAAGGATGGTATTTTAATGTAGGCAGATGGTAGAAAGTCTTGCTTAACCTAGGTTTAATTCTCGTTGATACTTGTCAGCAAGATGTATCTGCAACCTTGTGGGAACTTATATCTCCTCCAAGATTCCACATCACCCTGTATTGCAGTCAGTGATATTACCAGTCAGCTATTCGGGTTGAGACTGACCTTCTGTAGGACTGGACTGAATACACTGATTGCTCACTGGAGAGCAACCAATTTGATATTGTCTAGTCTTAAGTGTTGACTGAGTTATATCGATCATTTCGCGATATGCGCACAAAGCTAGGACGGTCACCATCGCAGTGCACACTAAATACGAACTTATAGTCACGTAGCCATCTGCTGAATGTTGCTTATACAAGCAGGCTTTAATTACTCAAATAAAAAGCAAATGAAAATTAAACTGTTTGCCTTTTTTAATGTGAATAATTATGTTATAAATAACTAACTGGTCAACACTTTCAACCAATCAGATGACAGATAGTAAATTCAGTTGAATCAATTGTTTTGACTCATATCACTTTACATCAGATTAACAATGAATTTACACCATATTGAACATTTCACTCACAGTACTGTTTCAATAACCGAAAGGTTTCACCAATACACTACAAATAAATGGAATATTTAGATTATGTGGCTTGCTTAAATGACAAACTATCAACATTCTGAAACACTAACCACTTATCGGTTATTAGTCTATTGAAATTGTTTAACTTTATGCTCATCTTTCCTAATGCATGGATCACGATCAACTTGTAACCATCATACATCAACTAGCTCAGTTAATCGAGGCATTTATCCTGCTCAAGTGGAGAAATCATCCAACTTTAAGAAGATATCTAATTCTCTGCGTAATTCTCCAACATTTTCCACGCATTCAGCCCCATTTCTTAATCAAATATGCGATCAAGGTATAACAATGAAATCACCAGTAGGTGAATCGAATATTGCCTCTTTTTCTATGGCAAGCGTAAAAGAAGTATTGGAACGATTGAAAACTGAAGTGGAAACTGAACGTACTAAACGATCAATTATAGCTCGACAACGAAGTCAAGATATACACAAATTGACAACACGTTCAAAAGCTGAGAATCGTATTCTGTTATCAGCATTAAGGCATGCTGAGAATAAAGCAAAATTGTATCGTGATGAATATCACAAGCTTAAAAGTAAAGGTGATTACTTGAAAATTTGACTATTCTTTTCAAAAACCTGTTGAGATATCTTTATTATACATAGATAATTAGATCTTTCTTCATGAAAAGAAACCCATAGCAAACATCGCGTTCACGTGTACTGCAGTATAAGGTTATATCAGTTTAAGTGTATCATCATCCCAGAGATCAACTAACGTAATGACACTTCAGTAATCCTTGTTGAGAGACAAATTTCTTGCAGTAGTATTTGAAACCCATAACCTGTAGGGTAAACCATATTGACATAGACAACAGACTCTCTGAAATTACATCTAATAATAGCAAAAGCTTTGTTATGAATGCTCATTAAGTCTAAGATCACTTGCTATGAGGTAGGTGCACCCAGCTGGGGATTCCAGAATAGGACGAAAAGCATCCACTGGATTTCACCGATAACCACTATCCATTACTAATATCAGTAGGTTTTAAAACTCGCACTTTAAGATTTCCACTCATTGCTTAATTGATAACGTGTTCAAATACGTAACTGATGGCCTTGAGCTTGACTGATGTAAATTGGTGAAGAGTTTCTGCAAGGCAATGAAACAACTTCCATTTTTCACATAGTCCTCAGCTTTATGTCAGTACATAGTGAAATGTTTTTAATTAAAACGCTGATGTATAGTTGATTTCTGAAACATCTAACCATCGATCGATTGCCGTCTTACCAAAGGGAATAGTGTTTGTCAAAACACCCATGGATCATCAGGTGTAAAGCTAAGATTAATATATGGATTCGAATATCAAGGAAAGAATTATTCAAATGTGATTATTAAGGGAAACATACTACTAATGAACAATATGAGTAGTGTTGGAATTAATCTGGGTGATCTGTTACATTTCGCAACCAGCTGTTTTGCTCTTTCGAAGCCGAGTCAACTCACTAGTAGTGTACCCCAGACAAATAGCTCATATCATCTAAATCTGGTTAGCTGACTTCCATGAACCGGTATACCACAAAGAGGATTTGAAAATTGTAAAGTCAACCTTGACATTTTTTTGTCACAGCTGAGTGGTTTTTCAAATGCCCAACTGTGGTGTCAACAGGGTTTCCTGTGTAAACCATCCACAAGCCAAGAGAGCAAGGTGGGATCTTTATTACAAACTGTCATCAACTAATACTTCTTCTGGATTTCATTTTTGACTTGAATTCTTCAGAAAAAGCTGAAATGAGGTAGGGGGAATTAAATTTGAATCCAATCGCAGAGTACTAATCCACGTTCTCAGCAATGAAATGCATATGTGTATGTGTAAAGATACCTTGAATAATACTTGGAACCATAAAGATTTAATATTCATCTGAAGAATAGAATAGACGTTAACTTGAACTGGCTTTTGAATGGAAAAACTTCAGCATTTTCATAACAGAAACACTTAAACAATTTTTTATAAAAGACTTTCAGTATTCAATATTGAAAGCATGACCTCTACTCCTTCTACACCAAATATCATCTGATTTACTATCTTTCAAAAATTTCCAGGTAAGATTGTTAGACAGAAAGATCATAATTTCTATTTGAACATCCACAGTAGAGTCTTCATGCTTGTCAGTTCACTGAAACCTTTACTGATACGAATTTGAATTTATGTATCAATCTTCTAAAAAGAGTCTTTAACTATTCTAATTAACTATAGTTTATGTTGAATCTGTTTAGGAGTGCAAGTCTGTTGTGGTAAACAACAATTAGAAATTAAGTAGTAATCACTTCGAATTCTTGATGTCCTGCCTTCTTTCTACATTGGTGCCATAATGAGAGTAGCCAAATCTGAATAATGAATTCGCATAAGTGTATAGCATAATATTTTCTCTTACAAAACCATAGAAAATTAGTTAACGTTTATGGGAAATAAAATTCCTTCTTTATTTCTGAAAATATTGGTCAAATATTAACGCCATTTATATAGCTTAACTCTTTCGATACCAGTTCTTTCCACAAAGAAAAGCTAACTGAAGCAATTGGTACAAGAAGATAGTTGTATGTTTAAGAATCTGAGAGCTTTCAGATTCAGTATAAATGGATTGTATTGTATGACAAGAACAGAAATTAACAAAAATACGCTTGAAAGGATAGTTGATAATGTTAACAATAAGAAGAACTTGATGGTTGACATTAGTAACTCCAGAAATGTACTTAGTAATACTAGTATCAATAATAAACAAGTGAAACTTGCTTGAATAGTTTATCAGAGTCCTTATCAAAGATAACTGACAATATTAAACTGTCCAAAGAGACAATAACTTGGTCTTATTTGATAATTCAGAGGGAACGTGGGGAACTTTCATAGGATTTTAGTACTCAGTATTGAGGAAGTATCAAATGATTGGAGAGTGTAATTTCACGTCATAGTAACGGTTCAGGATTTGATACTGACTTACAGATATGATTCCCTTTATAAATATGGGGACATTTAGGTGATTGATGGTGTTTAGCAACACCTCAGGTCATTCTTTGAACTGACTTGAATCTCTGTTCTTAACGTCATGGTAGTTGAAATATCCAAAAAGGATTTTAAGGCTAACTCTTTTTCCACTCCAGAATATCGATCTCAGAATCGCCGAAGTTACATTTGGACGTTTATGTAGCAAGCTGAAAAATAAAATTTTTAACATATTCATCATCATGAAGAGGAGCTTATGTAGCTGAGCTCCATTGTATGCTACAAAACAGACCATGTGTAATTCATAAATGATGAAGATACCCAACCAACAACAGCATCAACAACAAGCACCAATCACCATCAATGAAAGAAACCGAAAGGAAGTCTCTTTCACCTACCTAGGTAGCATTATTTCAACTGCAGGTGGCGGCACAGACGAGGATGTCAAGACCACTATCGAAAAGACAGCAAAACAGGCTTTCAATAATCTGAAGTTACTGGGGAGATCTACTGCACTCAGCATAAGGCGTGATCAACATCCGAATTTTCAACACTAATGTCGAGTCAGTGCTTCTATATGGCTCAGAAACTTGGCGCGTCACAAAAGCACTTCCAACAAACTGCAGACATTCATCAACAGCTGCCTACGCTCGAAACTGAAGAACAGATGGATCGCCAAAAAGAATAAGCAACAAGGAACTCTGGTTGGCTGCCAACGAACCAACCAGGAACCTATCACCCAAAAAATATGCAGAAGGAAGTGGAGATGGATTGGGTATACATTGAGAAGGCCAATCGGGGACATCATGCACCAGGCCAAGCCGTCGAGTGAGATCCAAAGGGGAAACGACGAATCGGGCGTCCAAGGCGGGGGTGACATGGAGGAGATCATGTGAGGAAGAAATGAAAGCTTCTGGGCAGTCGTGGAGAGAGATTCAAAAGAGTGCAGAGAAGAGAGTGCAATGGAAGCGTGCTACTGAAACCCTACGTTCCACTAGGAATCCAAAGGAAAAATAACAATGATAATAATAATCTTTTGAATTACTTATGTAGAAGAAAAGGTTACCTGTCCGGAAAGGCTGAGGTTTTCAGCAAACTCTGTGATTCTGTTTCAGTGGCTGTAGTGAAATATCAGCTGATATGTTGTTGTCTAGTTAATGGCTAAGAGTAGAATCCACAGCGTGCGTTTCGTCCTATTTAGGATTTACTAGCTAAATGCACCTGCACCCCAGTGAGTGATTTTATTTCCGCTTTGTATTGAACCCAGTTTCCGTCACTTTAAACGCCAAAGATTTATACACTAGGCCAGTCAGTCACTACTTCAACTGATATTTTGTCAATCTGAAGATGTTTTGACGAACATTATCTAATAAACCGTTCTGGATAATCTTCAGTCAACCACAGTGAACCAGTGGTACATAGATTTTCAGTGTTAGTCTGCTGCTACTATAAATTAGTTATTGACTACATAATCCAGAATTAAAGAATCAAGGCAAACTGAAGTTGACCATTGAAATCAGCAGAACTATCTGTATTGTAAAATCTCATGAGGAAGAAATGGCCAGTTGCCTTTTCATTGACTTTACAGCTAAGAGAATACCTTACAATCATTTCCTTCAATAAATTTAAATAGAACTAGTAAAGGTGTTTTAGCACAGATCCGTTTTATCTTCTGTTTCTTCATCATCTGTTTACAGCTTTAAACAATTTCAGCTTATTGTTTGATTCCTACTCATTTTATTTTCCAAGCAGATGTAAATCTCCCAACCTATTCTATAGTTTTACGTAATACATTTCTCAGTTGACAGAATACATTATTCTTCCTCTTTATCATTCAGAAAGACAAACAAACTATGTCGTCCTAGAAGGATCCAGTTTCATGAAAAAGGAATGTAACAGGTAGAGTCACTTCGAAGCTATTATATTCAAAGTAACCATCATGCGTTGGTTAGTCACCGATAAACAAGCAATTCTGTGTTGTTCAGTCTTAAGTTCAGACAAAGTCCTATCGGTATTTGATTATGGAACCTGTCAGAGTACACCATGCTAACAAGTACCTGCAAGCGCGATGAAATCTAGATCAAGCTGAGATTCCTGTTGATTGCCTCTAATCAACGAAAATCAATTAACAGTTCACCGAAATGGTGGATGTCATAGAATGGTAACTGCATTACGAAATAAACGGTAGAATTCGATCAGCTTTCAGGAGCAGAAAACACTAGTCTTACCACCTACACGGGAAAAATCAGTATATTGAATCCTGTCAATCTTACAGTAGGTGAATCGTGATGCGAATAGCTCAGTGGTGAGGTTTGAGAAGGTAGTACTGAAGGAGGTAGGTTTAAATCTCTGAGAGGACATCAGTTCCTTTTGACGTTGGCAGTAAGAACGAAACCTTGGTAGAAGGTTTCATGTCGACTACCCCTAGCTAACTAACATCAAAATATTCATCAACACACTCGGAAATCAAGCAATACAGTAGTCCTAAGACAACAGTGAAACTGTTTGGAAAGTGGCATGGTAAGGTGAGACAGTTGATGAAATTCTTAAGCGCAGTTCTAGAATACTGTTTTGTAATCGACTGTGGATATGAGAAGGAAATGAACAAGATTATATATTA